CCAACCAAGAACATATTTGACCATTGAATTCCAGTCACTGCAAAATTGAATATACTTAATTTCATGCTAATTTAGACACTACAATTGAAAAATACTAAAATAATTATTACAAAACATTTTACATACACTGAGTTTCATATGAATTCACCTCTTCCAGAAATCTGTATAATAATATATTAGGAAACAGTATACCCAAGGTTGGTGTTATAGAAAATACTTGTTGATTTATTAAACTCCCATGGAGTGAAAAAGATCCAGTGTAAATAACTGCTAATGTTATTGTTACAAAACGTGCTGTAAAAGAATTATTTTAAGCTATGGATACTCATTTATATTCGTACTTTTAATAAATATGAAACTTACGTTTAGAAAAATATGCTGCAATATGCATACCAAATGATATTAGATGAGCCACGTGCATTGTAAGTATGAACCAAAATATAAAAGTATTACTGTAATACAAGTATGATACAACATTTTTGGAGAATGTATTCTTAAACAATACAATTATTGGTATAATATAAAAAATACTAAACAATATGCTCGTAATTAACCAGCTAAGTAGATTTTGATATTGTTTTACTCCATTCATTGCCATTAAAACATTCACTCCAATATGTTTTTCTTTTGTTGCGTAACTTGTTTCTACACAAAGTGGAGTAAGAAAAGCTATAACTGCAAACATACATATCACCAGTCTTAGTATTACATCAGCTTCATCTATTTTAATATAAGGTGGATACGGCATTCTTTGTGCAGATATCTAAAATATATGTCAGCAATTACACAAATTAAGTTGTATTAGAAATTCTATTAGAAATTAGTGATACGTGTAACATTTGTAGTTTTTCATACCTTTATATCAGGCTTTATATCAGGAGCTGTATGCTGAATAAGCGATTCGTCAGCACATACTTGTAATTGTACAAATTCTGCAGCAATCATATATAAAGTGTGTGTACTGTACGATGATTGAGACAATACATGTTCAAATAATATACTTGGTATATCTATGGCATGCCTGATTTTATATCTTATATCGCTTGTATTATATTGTTCAAACACGAGACCTAACACCTTAATATTTTCAGATTCCGCTTCTGCAATTGTGTACTTTTTTATCATTTCTTCTTCAGATGGAAACCCTGATATCTCTATAAAATATAATAATGAATATTATTAAGTGTAAAGTACAAATATTGAATAAAATATTAAGTGATATATATTATAATTACTTTTATGATCTAACATCAAACACATTCGAATATCCTCGACAATTCTTTCTGTATATTCATTTTGTGGCACATAATAGATTTCTGTCATATATGTGCTTATGTCTGTTAATTCATCTTTTGTTTCTATAGGATAGTAGGTACTTTCATTAATTACACGAGGTGGATGTACACTAAAATCCCTTACAGCTTGTATTAATACAAACAAGGCAATCGGTACCAAACATTGTAAAAATATTGCTGATTTCCAATGCCTGATTCTCACTTTCAGGTTTTTATATAGCAACAAGCCAAAAATTCTGATTTTATTCGCCATTTGGAGTTTTAATTTGTATCAAATGGTCTTGTTTAATGAAACGCTTCACTGCGAACAATCAATAACATTGCTTTGCATACAAATATACCTATGCTTTCTGCATACAAATCAACCAGTTATCCACTGCCATTGAAAGTACATAAAAGTACTATGAATTGATAATAAGAATTGATGTATGAATCAGTTCATGGTATTATAGGACAGAATATATATCAACTATGGAACCTTGACAATCAAATTATCTCTATAGTCATTAAGTTTACCATTGATAGGAGCTTTATTTAAATATAAAAGTATTTCTTTCTTTCTTCGATGAATGTAACTGAAAGACAAATTATTATGAAGTTATTGGTGATGAACAAAACACGACCAAATAAAAATTTCTGATACACAAGATTAGGTTAACAACTATATACCTAGTTGATGAATGGGTTATATCCTCATTATGAATCACAGGTATGTATAATTACATGGAAATGGACATTCATTCAATGCACCAAACGTTCTTTTGCCAAATCCTGTTATCACTGTCTATATTTTCACGTTACTACGTTTCTGTCATTTAATAAAATTATCAGTCTCGAACACTTTAAATTAGACATATTGTACACCCGTAATAATCATTCTACAATAGACTACACAAATGTGTACGAAGTGGAAGTGCCAAGTACCACGCACAAAATGCATCCAGCAGTTTGACATGCAGATGCAGTTGTATGTATACAAACTGTACAATTCCGTAATTCAGTTACATTTCCGACTGACGGCAATATTTGTTTAGATAACTGTCACAAATTATCTTAACACTCGAGATTAACAGATGAAAATTGTCACTTAGAAATACAAAAGATTGAAGGAAAGAGGTTAAAACAAAGCAATTATGTATAGAACATGTTCTAAAGTAACGTATGTATTTCAAAATACACATTTATTGACAAAATCGCAACCTTCCACAATCTGAATTTAAATTATCTAACACGAGAATGAGCCTTAATGTTTGAAACGTGTATGCGTCACGTCGTCAGTTGCATGACGTACAGCAACGTACAGTACAGACTTACAGACTGAGTACAGAATGCCAGTGTTGTGCATAGAAGAATGGCTAGCATGTGTTAGAAAATTAAATAAATAAGTTTGGCTTTTAGCCAGTGAATTATTGAGCGAAGAAAATTTAAACGTCGATAGATTTTAAGACGTGAGTCACCAAAATTTTGGCTTATAACGTTCGCATAAAAACGTATTTTTGCATGTTCAACTTTGAAATACATTATGCGATTTATATACATACATCTTATCATAAATTTTACGAAACAACAGACTGTCCATATCTTGAATGAGGATCATATATCATTAAAGTATTTAGCGGTAGACATTTATGATACATGAATAATTGAAAAATTTGCAATATCTCTTTCTTATCATATCGCACTTACCACATATTTTCTGAAAGGTTAGATAACGTTCATTCTTGGAACGATAAATTGGAGCTGTGCACAAGTTTTTCTTCTTATTCGAGATCCATTTTGAAATAACAGGTATTTGGATTTTAATCCCTTCATTACGGGAGGGAGCAGTTTTCCACGAGTCTAAATTTTGCCGCGAATCGAGCGTCAGAATAGAAATTTGGATAGTAAATCAGAATTGTTATTATATGCAAAATTTTGACGAGTATCTGCAATCACTGCTAATGTATACATATAAGAAGTGTTTAACATTCAGAGATTATAGTCATTGTTAGCGGGGAAAGGGTTGAAAACACAAATAAATATCATAATGTAAATGTAACAAAAATGGACTATAGTATAGATTTATTTAAGTAATCACCAGGAAGGTGATACATTTTTTATTTTTATCTTTATATTTTCCTACCTGTTGTAGACAATGCCATGGATTGCTGTTATCTTAACAAAAATGGAAGTCTTGAGACAGAAAGAGAACTTCCAAACATATCTAGCCCAGAAATGTTTAACAGCGACGATGAAGATGATACACACAGCAGTGAAATTATAGAACATGAAACAACAGCTAGTCCTGCGAAGCCTTCTCAAGCTGATTTAGTAACTAAATCTGATAGTAATTTATTAGCCAGAATCAATAAACTATTAAGTGGGATACCTCCACCACCTAAGCATACAATTTGTAGAACCGACTGTTCAGAACTTCTAGTACGTATTTATGAAAATTCTCACCTATTTTGGACACCAGATGTATTACCGAAGAAACAATTGCTACCTGACGTAAACAAAGATTTCCCAGAACAACAAAAAGAAAACATTAGTACAAATAGTTCTGTACAACTTAGCAAAAGCACATCTAGGAATTTATCTATTGCTTTTGATGAATGTGATCCACAATTTCAAAACAATATTAGTAATAATTTAGAGACGAAAGATGTTACGAATAACATTTGTCGTGATAATTTTAGAATAGAACAAGTAGTTCCTAATAATAAGACAAACACAATGTGTACTGAGAATGTACAGGTAGCTTCAACTGAAAATAATTCACAAGAATCATCTGTTACCTCCCTACAAGAATCACTTTTTTATCATACCGTTGATGAAAAAGAAGCTAGCAGTTTGACATGGCCTGATGCTTACCATCACAAATTTCATGGAATTCAGTGAGTGTATAAATGTTTTAATCATCTCATCTATCAATATTTTACTAAAAATATTTTGTAACATTGTATTACAAATTTTAGTTACAATAGAAACAAAGCTGTGGAGGATTTTGAAAGTCTTTCAATGAAGTTATGCGAGAGATACATAGGAGCTGAAACTCAATCCACTTGTACTGTGTGGTTTTCTAAACAAGCACCAGGAAGTGCCAAGAAACGAAATCTTTTAGCTAAACGTGATAATGGTCAAAGTCCTGGGAAGAGACTAAGTCATTTAACGCGAAGACGGAGGACATTTTCTAGTGCAAATTTACAGGGATTAGCGCTCAATAATAAAAAACTACTAGTGTTAAATATTAAGTGTGTAATGAAGTTACTAACATAGTTTATTAATATTTAAAGTATTTATTTATCTTCCTCTTTTGCAATTTAGGAAACCTACTATTAAGAAGGGTAAAAGTCCAAGAGGAAAGAGCCCGCGAGGTAAAAGTCCAAGAGGAACTCCGAAGAGTTCAACAAAGAAAAAAGTTGCTCGAAGACTTATTTTAGACGAACCTAGTTCTTTGAAAGCAAGAATAGAAACATCAAAGCGGGCCTTATTTCAAAGTCCCCCTTCGGATAGAGCTGGGCCGAGCAAGTTATTCTCAAGTGGAGCAAATGCTCAAAGCATTAAACGTGTATTATTCAGTAGTGGATCAAAAGAAAATAATGTTGAAGTAATTCAGAAGATAGAAGAATCAAGGAAGAGGAAAAACGAAGAAGAATTGGAAGGTTCACGATTTAAGCGACCGAAGAGTTTATCATTTGATTGCTCTCACGAAATTCATAATAACTCTACAGTTACATGGGATAGACATTCGACTAGCAACCTAATTGAGAAAACTAAGGTATCTTCAAATGAAGGAAGAACGGAACTTAGTGATGCTCACAGAAAAGTGCGTAATTACAAAGTACATCTAATTCCTCTTCTTGCAACGATTATAAATGTCGATGAAAATCTATACTATTTCTTTTTCTTTTTTTTTTAGAAATTATTATGGGCAGTAGCAGAGGCTTTAAGAAGTGAAGGAATTGGTATGACTCATCCGCAATTCAAGCAATATGCTACGAACTTAGCAAAGACTATCAAAAAATATATGCCTGATCTTGAAAATAGAAATATTCCTCGCAAGCCGGGTAGTACAAGTGATCGCATGTTAAAACTAGCAAAACATCATGTTTTATTTATAATTGAGGCGGGACCAACCGACTGACAATACTCATTACTACTAGACATGAAGAAATTGACTCAACTTTTTACACGAAGTCTACATGATTTGAAGTATAAGTGATCGTTGGTATGTTAAGATAGCATATGCCCACGTCCATTGGATTTTATTTAATAAAATATATAGTGAGATATACTTGAAATGTATTATAACTAGAGCATGTGATAACACTTTAACATGCAACGTGTGTGACTGTAAAAATAGAGTGATGTTTAAGGAGTATTAAGACATTTTTTACTGCATAAATATGAATGAGAAAGGTTATTTTATATGTGCCTAATTTTTTATTAGCGGTAAAATAGTATATATATATATATATGTCACAACGTATAAATAATTATTAAAATAAAAGGTGCTACTTTGAAACAAAAACGAAATTTGTAACGTAAACGTAAAAATAATATATATACATCATTCATGTCATTTTCTTTATAAAAAAATAACGACTAATCGCGTTCTGCAGTCGCGATACTTGTGTTTATTAATTCGCATTTTTATTCCGCATTCTGTTGACCTACTCGAGCGATCACCTCATCCAATATTTGTGCCAGTTCTTTGTTTTCTCTAGTCTTTTGCTCCACCTGTTGGGCCAATGAATTACTTTTAAGCTCTGCTTTTCGTAACAAGGCGTGAAGCTTAACTATTTCATCTTCGTGTTGTTTCCTTATGTTCTCCAAATCAGAATTAGCCCTAAAATATTGATTAAATGGATTAATATTAACTATCAATATGCTATTTTACACATTATGCGGATACATACTTTTCGAGTTGAGACGTAGCATGGACTTTCAAATTATCGTACCGCGTTTGCAAGCACTTTATGGTGTCCATATTTTCTTGGATACTTTCTCTTAATACTAACTCATTAGTTTTGTATACCGATACGACTGCTTTCACCTTTTCGTATTTCTGGTGAACATCGTTGAACGCAGCCTCGGTATTTGATAAATGAACATTCGTGGCTTGTAATTCTTCTTGTAATTTCGTTTTCTCCGTAAGCAATCGGCTAATCGATTTCTCATATTCTTCGATCACGACCCTAGTATCAACACTTCGGTTACTTTAACTACTTTAAAAGTATAATATTCTTAAAGTAGCAGACTTACGTTATCTGAGATTTACTCTTTATCTCTTGCGCTATTTGTGCCTGTAATTGATTAATCTCCTCTTGAAAAGAGTTTTTCTGCCTTTCTAATTCTGTCTTGTGCTCCTTCTTCTGTTTCTCCAATTCTTCTTCTAATTGCAATACAGTTGTTCTCACTAATTCTAACTCCTTGCTCATATTAACACCGTTAATGAACGGAGTATCTGACTTTGGTTCATCCGCAGGCTGTTCCTGTATTACACATTACATGTATCCTCCATTTACAGTATTGGCCAAATGTATTTGGACATATGATTTGTCTCAATTTTTATAAACAGTACAATATAATAATATTAAACCAATTAGCTAGTTTATAGAGAACAGTGCAATGAATAATTTACAATAATTAATTTAACGAATTGTAACATAAAAGATATATGTTTATACAAGCAAAAATTTGGTGGACAAATGTATTCTGACAAAACTTAAATATTACACATGTTATGAAATAAACGAATTCTCGGCACGAAACAAAAGAAAAACTTAATATTTCGTAGAAAATCCTCGAGAATCAACAACTGCCTGCATCCTTTTACGCGTAGATTTCAGTAAATTTTGTATTATTGCAGGATGGCTGGACTATCATTTTTCATATAGTGTTTCAAGTAATTCAGTGGTATTTCGAAATTTTTCAGTATGTACACTCAATTTTAAATGCTGCTATAAATGTTCTCTCGGATTTAGATCCGGACTTACATTCGGCTGATACTGTACTTACAAAGGTATTACACAACTAGCAAAAAATATTTTCAGATTGTTCAATTATTTGATAATATTCACACGATTCTGATTGAATAAGGTAATCAGGTTCTCAATTTTCTGAAATTTATCTGTATTTTTTGGTAAAGAAAGAAGAATGGTTCTACGATTTCGCTAGTAATGTTGTACGAATAAAGTGCTTGTATATTGCAAATACATTATAAATGGTTACTTACAATTTTCTCTTTAGGTTCTTCCATTTTCGGTGTCATGTTTGTAGTGATAGGACTGAAAAATAATAGCCTGTCTATAGCCGCTATAGCAGGATTACGTTTCGGAGTGCCAATAATTGGCGGTGGGCTCTCGGTTTTTCCATTTTGTTCTTCTTCATTGATTGGTTCTGTGTTCCCTTGGGGCAGCATACTGATGGTGTCCCCCACCAATGGGTCAAAGTTTACATACAACGATTCCGTTCTAAGACGGTTTATGGTTTTGGAATTACCGCAGGCTGTCAGAAAGTCGAAACTCGTTGGATCTTGGAATACTGCAAACCATGGTTACCATTAAGATAATGCATTAACATTGCAACTTTCGGATGAATTTAAATAAAATTGCAAAGATACTTGCAAGGCGATTCAAACAATGCATCCCAATAATATTTACAAGAATCAAATGTTCTGTAAAAAGAAACAAACGATACTCACTATCGGATGTTGCGGTAACGAAATTGCCACTTTCTTCTGGAAATTCAAACGAGGACTTGAAAATATCATTTGAAACTTCCTCGGCAGCCGACTTTAGTTCATCGAAGTTCGGTTGTTCGATACTAGGCAATACTAAAGTGGTGCTCTGTCTCTGAGGTTTGAAATCCTTATACTGTTCCTCTTCCGGCACAGTCTCCGGATCTAATAATGCATCCTCAAAGGTTAAAGTCGTATCTAACTTATCATCAGAAGATTTCTCTTCGTTTTCATCCCCTGTTTCTTTCAGCGAATCGGTCGCATCTGTCTTCGCGAATTCCTCTTTTACTTCAGTACTTGTGTCACTTAAGTTCGAAGTAAGTTCAACCGATGCTTTGTCATCTACAGATGGCAACGAACTAGGTAAGGGAGGATGTTCAATATCACTAACTTCATGGACTTCGTTTACGCACAATCGCGAAGAATCTGTCAACTGCAACGATGACAGAGTCGGTATACTAGGCAACGATAAGTCTTCTGTATGTTCTGTGAATGGGGACACCGAGGTTACAGAGTCTGTTATGGAGCATGGTACATTATTTACAGCTATAAATTCAGTCTGGGCTTGGATATCCTCGATTACAACCTGGGCTTGGATATCTTCGATTACAACCTGGGCTTGGATATCTTCGATTACAACCTGGGCTTGGATATCCTCAACGGCAATCGGGGCTTGGATATCCTCATCGACAATCTGGGCTTGGATATCCTCAACGACAATCTGGGCTTGGGTATCCTCAACGACGATCTGGGCTTGGATATCCTCAACTACAATCTGAGCTTGAATATCCTCTACGATTTCTTCTTCGATTCTAGGCGCATCTGGACTCACTCTGCCGGGCGATAAACACTGCGTAATATTCAAATTAGACCCTTCTGTGCTATGCGACGTTAGGGGAAGTTCTTCGACGTTATCGAAGTTGCTGGATTGTGAGTCGACGGTCAAGTCATCGTTCCCGCTACAAGAATTCGATTTCTCGCGCGGTTCTTCTGTCTGTGTCAGAATGCTATGCGACGGTGGCGGAAGTTCTTTGACGTTGTCGAGACTACAGGTTTCCGAGTAGGCGGTCAAGTCATCATTCCCGTTACAAGATTCCGATTTCTCGATCGGTTCTTCTGTCTGTGTCAGAGGAGCGCTATGCGATGGCAGTGGAAGTTCTTCGACGTTGTCGAAACCGCAGCTTTGCGAATTGGCGGTCACGTGATCGTTACCATTACAAGAATCCGAATTCTCGATTGGTTCTTCTGTCTGCGTCAGAGGAATTATCAGAATGGGTCGATCCTGCGGATCCTGTGTGCGATTCTGTGTCAAATAGAGGCTGGTCTCTTGGGCGTCGTTGCAAGAGTCAGCCAACAACGAGCTGCTGTTGTTCAGATCCTCGATCAGCTCAGTGATAGGCTCGTCGGTGGCGGACGCGAACGTTTGATCCTGGCTGAGATCCTGAATACAGTCGATCGAGTCCTCCTCGGAGTTTAACCTTATGTTACCGCAGCCAAGGATCAGCTCGTCAACACCGGGTATACTGGAATTCAAGTAGGAGATATCCGATATCTGGTCCGGCGTCTGGTGCGCCGAGTCCAGGCATATGCCGCTGCTGCTTTTGGTGCTGACTGTGCTGCTGAGACTTTGGAAACTGCTCGACGAGGACAGAGACTCCGGGACCGTATAGCCGATCGATCCGACGTCGGCGAACTCCCGAGCGAATCGGACCTTCACCTCATGCTCTGCTGTCTTCTGTAGCGAACTGTCGTTGCCGTTCTAGAAAAAAGAGAGAGAAACTTATTAGCCAAAGCTTGCCAGGGATCGTTTCCTAAGCGTTCGCTATCGTTCTTTATGAAACTTAACAAGCTTCTTTCAAGCGATCAACAACAAAGAGTTACGTATTCTTCAAGACGACTCGCGTTCAAAGAATCGAACTATCGTGGAAGCGAGCGTGTTTTTTTTTATTGATCGCTTCTTGTTGTTCTAACGAAGTTCGACAGCGGGAGCGGAACATTTGGAGGACGCTTCGGTTAAGTCTGCAGTAGATCGATCGCGCCAACACCGCATTAGTACCCAATCGTTCGGACAGCAATCGCACAACGCAGCACGCCTCTACAAATCCGTAGCGAACGCGGACATTCTTCCGTTCGGATCATTCTACTTCAGAGCGGACTGCGAGTTTCTCGCGGCCTGATAGAGACACGAGACGAACGCAAGAGTCCGACGCAAAATACCGGTGGTGTGGGCGACGTCCTTGGCGGGATTGCAGCAGCACGTTGCAGCAGTTTATTGATGTATTCCATATTTTCTGCGATAGCGCGAGTTCTGCGTGCGTGTATTTCCCAGCTAGTTCACACCGTTCACTGAGTCTGATCAGCTGACGCCCAAAGGCGGGCGCTCGCGAATTTCTTTCAGGAATTGCGCAACTTCTTCTGCCCGCTGCGACTAATTATAAAATATAGGGGCGGAGAGAGAAGGATTTCGTTTTGCTGAATCCCGCACCGGTCTCGCGGCCGCGTAACCCATGCCAAGAACAGTTATGAACAGGACTGCTGGCGTAGTTGGCGTGTTTGCGATAAAAAGCTAGTTCCCGATCTTTCGACGTTAGTTCCCCGTTCCTGCGCTCCGATCGACGCCGATCGGATAGAGAAGTTGGAAGGTGAGTTAAAAAAAGGGGGTACGTACTACTCCCACGGACGAAAATACCGGTTCGTTTCCACGGCTCCGTTGCGTTTAATTGTTGCCAATCATCAGTCACTGTAATCCGAGCGGAAACGAATCAGATCGTATCGATGTCTCGACCAATGGTGCCCGCAAATTGTGTTTGTAAATATAGACGCTGTGTCTCTGCATTTTTACGAGATATACGCCGCGACCGCTCTGTTCTCGGTTTTCATCGAGTTCTTACTGCAACGCAGTACGAACGAGTAATAATGTTCCGCCGTTGTTGAAATCCGCGTTTCTAAACCGTGCTTCGTAACCTTCAAAAAATGCTCCCGATTCGTATCGTGAAAATATAATTCTTTTACGATACGTAGAAACAGTGGCGATGTTTGTACATAAATGGATTTAGAAAGTTTGAAAAATGCTGGTTTAAAGAAATCTCTGGCTGAGATATTTATCTTGTTGCAGCGATTTTGAAAACCGACGACCTTTGCTTCGACTGGTCCAGTTTTTCAAGCGTTCTAAGATAGCGTTGTCTAGAATCACAAAGCCATTGGTCTTGCTTAACCCTTTTAGTGCCGAGCGACGAGACATTGCGTATGCGATGGCGCCTAATTGTTCGGGATGCATTAGTGTATGCGTTAGCAAGCATCAATGTTAAATAAATTATTTGTGCGAGTAATAATAAGTAAATATTACATATTTTCAATAGCCAGATAAATGAATATACATATTTATAATATATATATAATATATTATATTCATTTATCTGGCTATTGAAAATATGTAATATTTACTTATTAAATATTTAATTATTATATAATATATATAAATTTGTTTTCAGTAATGTTATACTAACTACACCAATTCACTTGGCATTATATCTTAATTTCGTGGTCCGCTATCAGCTACTTTGTTACAAATTATTGAAAATGTAATAGACATTACATATTGCTATATTTCGTACTAAGTGATCTACATAAAGTTACGATCAAACTATAATTTCTCTTATGTGCAAATACTGTTTCTAAAAAGAGAACTGATTTTTCTCTTTTTCATACTGTTTCACATTCATATTATCCGTATAATTTTCAACAAATATTTAAATACAATTGGCAGTATTTTGACAATATTTCAATACAATTAATATTCGTAATATTCTTCTTTTTGCATTTCATAAATATCATTGTTACTTTGGTTTTTACGAACTTTTATCCAAACCTCAGCAAATTCGTCAAATTGATCCGGTATTTTTTGCTTTTGCTCGACACCAAAAGGGTTAAGAAGTGTATCATCCCGACATCTGCGGTTTCTACGTATACCGCAATACAGCGATAAGCGCATAATTTCGATGTCTGAACGGACGAGTGCTGTAATATTGCGCTCTAATATACTGCATGAAAATTTCAACCTGCCTACGCTGTTTGATTCAATGTGTCTCGTCAAATGTAACCGAATATCCCCGGCGGAGTTTCGTTCGAAGCTGTGCGTCGCAGTAAAGAGCAGTCATCTTGAAGATCACTAAATGTGTCACTGACCTGCTTTGTTAGCTCCTCGCTTTGTAGTTACTTGAAATGAAATTAACTTAGACAAGCGAAGCATCCTTTTGCTATTTACTCTGCAAATATTATGTTGGAGAAACTATGAAACGGGCGTTTTCGATTAGTCTGTGTTCAACTGCGACTGAGAGAGGTTCATTCACAACGCGCGCTCGATATTTTTATTTATAAATTTTAAAGGTATTCTTCTCACTCATTTTGTAAAATTTTTTCACGTTCGTGTTCCATTCTTATTTTATATTTCTCCGAAACCAGATGGAAACAAAACGCGATTTACATCTACTTTTTTTTTGTACGAGTACAAATTGAATCATAGCGCAGCTCAAGCTTCGAGAAACATTAATCAAGCTTTCAAAGATGGATCCACCGATGGAAAAAAATACTCGATATTGGTTGTAAAAATTTCGTTCTGGCAATTTGAGCATACGAGCACCGGTCCATATTGATAACGAGGAATTAAGGACGACTGTGGAATCCGATCCAAACACAATTATTCCTAAACTTGGGACTAAGCTAGGAACCAGCCATACAGCTGTGTTAATACATTAAAGGCGGGAGTCGTAGTACTACGATTTATCTCGACTTCTCATAAATATGTACTTTAAAACATTTTTTGTAATTAGCGTTTAGTTCTTTTTTAATATTTCTTTTAGTTTTAAGAGTTTAAATAAACTTTTTTAAGTCTAAATTTTTTTATGATTACACAAAATATCGCCCGCTCTAGCACGAAAAACGAGGCGGGGCGGTCGCCGCGTTACCTAGCATACTTTCCTCAAGATCCCCCGCCTTTAATGTGTTAATAAACACTGCGTGCAATAAACAAAGTATAAAAATTGGACTCATATGTACCGCACGAACTGACGGAACTAACCAGAAACGCCCGTGTTTCATAGTTTCTCCAACCTAATACTTCGACCCCTCTATCAACAAGGACACTCTATCAGTAAGGGATTTCTGCTACGAGAGGGGCACGGGGGCAAGAACGCAGAGATTTTTGCTACACATCGCTTGCGTAACGTCCGAAGTTATCGAGTAATCTTAGGCGGTTATCGATCGTGCGGTACCCGGCACCATTAGAGGCCGTCGTGAATGGAAAACGAAGCGATTAGAACGCGAGTTCGCGGTGCGATTACCTTGTGGATGAGATTCCCCATGATTTCCCAAAAGACCTCCACTTTCGGCTGCCACTGCCGGCAGATTTCGAGGCCATATTTACGCGCGAGTCCACGGAACCCCACGTAGCCCGTTTTCTTAGTTCCCCACCTTGTTACCCTCACCCCCGACACGCTTATTTTCGACGGCGCGAGACGTCTTTCGTCAGCCATTCACCCCTTTTCCCGTCTCTCTGTATACGCGTTTTCTCTTTTGCTCGATTTTAGAGCCGGACGAACGTTTACTCCAGTTTCTTTCGCCGTCCCGAGCTTCCCCGTCCTTCTTCCTGTCCGCGCTGTTTCCCCAAGAAATTAAAAATATCCGACGTATCTCGGGTTCACCGACACCCGACGATGTTATCGATGCAGCATTCAACTATTCTATTACCGAAGCGCCCACGGCCGTTCGTTCAGAGATGATGCTCTGTCGCGTGAAACCTCTGCGTACACGCTTTTGTTATCGGGCACTCGAGATCTACCGTATTATACAATTATCAGTTTTTCGAGAGGTCGTCGGATTATAGCGAATATCAACGCTGATTATCGCGATCGCGTAATTGTTTGTTGCTCTGATTTCGTTAGAAAATTGTAGGCTCAATGTGGCGCTGCAATGTTACCCGAGCACCGTAAATTCTCCCCAATTGACGCTCAGATTGTGCACTCTAAAATGGACAATTAATATAATTAATATAATATTAAATCCGATTATTTGTTATAGTTACTCTTTCCAAATTGTCCATTTTTGTATATAATCTGAGCGTCAATTAGGGAGAATTTATTGTAATTACTTCATCTGAAACGGATTGTTATCCGTTTAATGTTATCCGTTTAACCGCAAGACTTTTCTCTATAAAAAAGTAATAATATTTCTCTATATAAATAGCGAAGTACCAATCTATGCATAGCGAAGTGCCAAAAAATTAAGTGCGATCATATTTCTATATTATATATTACATTGCTATATAATAATATTTTTCTATATAAATACATTAGTTCTATGCGTAGCGAAGTACCAAAAAATTAAGTGCGATCATATTTCTATATTATATATTACATTGCTATATAATAATATTTTTCTATATAAATACATTAGTTCTATGCGTAGCGAAGTACCTAAAAATTAAGTGCGATCATATTTCTATATTATATATTACATTGCTATATAATAATATTTTTCTATATAAATACATTAGTTCTATGCGTAGCGAAGTACCTAAAAATTAAGTGCGATCATATTTCTATATTATATATTACATTGCTATATAATAATATTTTTCTATATAAATACATTAGTTCTATGCGTAGCGAAGTACCTAAAAATTAAGTGCGATCATATTTCTATATTATATATTACATTGCTATATAATAATATTTTTCTATATAAATACATTAGTTCTATGCGTAGCGAAGTACCTAAAAATTAAGTGCGATCATATTTCTATATTATATATTACATTGCTATATAATAATATTTTTCTATATAAATACATTAGTTCTATGCGTAGCGAAGTACCTAAAAATTAAGTGCGATCATATTTCTATATTATATATTACATTGCTATATAATAATATTTTTCTATATAAATACATTAGTTCTATGCGTAGCGAAGTACCTAAAAATTAAGTGCGATCATATTTCTATATTATATATTACATTGCTATATAATAATATTTTTCTATATAAATACATTAGTTCTATGCGTAGCGAAGTACCTAAAAATTAAGTGCGATCATATTTCTATNTAATATAGAAATATGATCGCACTTAATTTTTTGGTACTTATATATTGCTATATTCTATATTATATTTCTATATTATATTGCTATAACAATAGCAACGCAATGTGAGAAAGAAATATGATCGCACTTAATTTTTTGGTACTTCGCTATATGCATATAGAAATAATGTATTTATATAGAAAAATATTATTACTTTTTTTATAGAAAAAGTCTTGCGGTTTTTGTAAATTTAGTATGAAAGTTTCATTCACATGTGTGCCACAAACAAACATTAAAATTCTTTTGCAATAAACACGATGCAGAAGCATGAAACTT